GAATTACTGAAATTTGAATTCTGGAAAATGAATTACATTTCTGGAAAAACGTTTTCCGGAAAATGTTTTCCGTAAAATGAATTATATTTTTCTGAAAAACATCTAGAAAACGTTTTATGATGTTTGGAAGATGTTATTTAAACATTTTTTCCACTAGTTGAAGAGTTTTTTAAAAATTATTTATTATAAATATTAAATACAATAAATAATATTATTTATCATAAAACTTTTTTATTATTAAAAATAATAATTTTTGTATATTTTAGTGAAATAAAATATTATAAATATTATAAATTATTTATTAAAGTAATAGTGTTATATTATATTTAAAAAATATTAATTAGTATATTTTAAATATATTTATTAAAATATTATTTAAATATATAAATAATATTATTCATTATTAAATATATACATTTTTTATTATATATTATTAAAATAAAAATATAATATCTTATATTATTATAATATAATTGATTATTTTATATAATATTAAAAATATAATATTATATTATTATAAATATTAATAAATAAATACTATTTTGATGAAAATGATATTAAAATATTTTATTAATATTAAATTCATAAAATAAAATTATTTTGAGTTTATTCTTTGAAGTGAAAAATTCAAAAAATGACTTACGGAAAATGAATCCGTAAGTCATTTTAGAGAAAACACAAAGGAAATTCTATTACTAGGAAAATGAATTACATTCCGGAAAACCAATTACGTGAAACAAACACGGGAAAACATTTTCCGAAAAACGAATTACGTGAAACAAACACGACAAAATATTTTCCGAAAAATGAATTACGGGAAACAAAACACGGTAATTCAAAAAAAACCAATTCCGTAAAACAAACACACCCTAAGCTTTTTTTTTTCTCCTTCTCCTAAAGAGGTTTTTAATTTTACTTTTGTTCTTTCATAATAGAAATATGACATGACAGTTAAATAAAGGGTAAAATATATAAATAGTCCCCAAACTTTTAAGATACTTTCATTTTGATCATCTAACTTTTAAAACTTACAATACAGTCATTGAATTTTTAGTTCGTTCTCATTTCCTTCCCTATCGTTACCTCTGTTAGATTTTTCGCTGATGTGGCAGGTAACGCCCGTTAACCTACCCCTCCTTCTCCTTCTTCTTCTCCTTCTTCTTCTTCTTCTACCTCTACTACCTTTGAAAACCCTAACCTCCAAAAAATCAAAAACTCAAAAATCATAACCCCACTGAAAATCATAACCTCCACAAAATAAAAAAAATCCAAAAATCGTTTTGAACAAATCCGGAAAGCATTGACAACACTTAGATGTTGTGAAAGTTTTTCCATGGAAAGGTTGGAAATGCTTGGGGATTCGGGGGTTAGGCACGGTGGGTAGTTAACAACTTTGGTGCCAAATCATGGTATTGCTTATTATCATCCAATTATTGCAAATCAACCTTTTCTTCAACATGTTGATATTCATACAATAGATTTACATCTCATTCTCTTTATTTATTGAATTTCTATACCAACTTATCTATTCACATGCCAAGATAAGTACTCTACATCAACTCATGCACCAAACAGATAACAACCAAGCCCATAGAAACATAAGCTCAATTCCCAGGTGCCAAAAGAGATATGCCATTATACTCGCATCTAAATCTACTGAACCTAGAGTCTACTACTACTAACAAAACACACAATAAAGTAGGAGCAAAGAAAAGAGCAATGCAATATACATAATTCAAGAAAAACAGAGAGTGCTTCTAAAACCTTGAAATCATGCTACAAGAACGAGCCAACATCCTAAATTTCAGACTGCTTCCTTGAACGCTAGCTTCAGCCTCCACAGGATCATGGTCATACGACTTTCTGCAACCAGGACAACGTCTATCTTCCTCAAGAATCCTCTTGTGACAGAAAAGTCAGAGCCGGAAACCACATCAACAGGGCAAAAAACTCGAGTCTGTTAAAGCCAAATCCTCGTAGCATATGGGGCTTGATGATGGAACCGAAAATGCACTAACTTGCACCCATGACATCCCTCCTTGACCAGAAGGCCAATCCCTAGCTGGAAAACTCCATTGCTTTGACAAATAAATAAGCGTATTTGGACGAAAAGTATCATCAGCCCTACACACTCCGCTACTTCCTGTCACCCTCTGCACCATTCTTGGACACTCGGTTTGGAGCTTCTCAAATCTGTTTTTCCCCCATTCGAACCTAACAGGGGATTTGGCATGAACAAGGGTTTTCCTTGTTATTCTTGTTTGAATCCGTTTCCTGCTTGTTATTCTTGTTTTAATTTTGCGGAGGTTATGATTTTCAATGGAGTTATGATTTTGGGTTTTTGGATTTTTTTATAGGTTAGAACTAAAAGTTCGATAAATGTATTGTAAGTTTTAAAAGTTGAGTGGCTAAAATACAAACGTCCTAAAAATTCAAAGACTATTTATATATTTTCTCTTAAATAAATTTATATAATTATACATTTAACCTTTATTACTTATTTATTCAATCAATTTAATTTTAAATTTAAATTATTTTTAATAATTTGATTCTTTCAATAAGATGACAACACACGCAATCTAATACTCTACGACCTCATCTAGACATAAATAATATATATAGCAGACTTCTCTTAGATGTCGTTTTACAAACTTCTTTGAAATGAAATTACACATCAATATATTCATTATTACAATCTTTTATTAACTTATACTTAAAACATATATACTAACACGGGCGTCAATAAACAATCTCCCTAATATTAAGTAGAGGAAAAAAGTGTGTCATATAAGCATCGAGTCATTAGAAATCACATAATCAAGACACAATCCAATCCAATCTAATACTAACATTACAGACCATGATTATCGATGATTGTTCGTCTCATCAATATGAGATAAGGTGGGTTTAAAAGAATTAAGATTGTCAAATCCAATCTTTGTATCTCTTAGTTGGTGTTATAATGTGAGTCTTTAATTTTAAAATCACATGAGGTGATTACGGATTGATCCGTTGAATGCAAGTGCAATTATTGAATTAGACTGATAAATTGTGTTATAATAAAATTTGTACATTCTTATAGTGTAAAAAGATTATGATGACTTACGTACATAAGACATTAATTAATACTTATATTTATTTGTGTGACAAACTATAACAATTTCCATGACCTACTAAAAATGTTTATGAGAAATATTTTCAATAAAATTTATTGTGTTAGACAAAAAAATTATCGTATGAATTTATAAGTATTTCAGAGGTAAAATTAGTCTTCGAGTTACAATGTTATTTAAGAGTTATAGCATATATATATATATAATATGAGAAAGATGATTTATAATAAATAATGATAATATTATTTTGAAAATAATACCAAAATTTTTAATTGAATAATTAATTAAACAAATTATTTATATATATTTATATATAGAATATAAATCAATCCATACCCGATGTTGTTTGGGCTGAGGCTGGCTGGCTGATGATAAGGAAAAGATAAAAAGGTGATGGATTTGGGCCCATAAGTGGTGTACGAGTGGGTCCCATCACAAACGCCGCAAGTCGTAACGCCGCTCATCCAACAACCGCCCCAGTTGGCGCCGTTTGGGATGGAGACGTTTCCCAGCCTGCTACCATTTCCCCCCTTTCCTCTTCCCCTTAATTACAAACTCTGCCATTTCCCCGTCGTTTCCCATTTTTTTTTTCATTTTATATACTTAATGTAAAAGTAACTGAATAAACTATTCACAAAATTAATTTTTGGTATTTAAATAATTTTTCGCTAAAAATAAGCGCATAAAATTTTATTCGTTATATTTTTAGAAGTCTACCGTTTAAAAAAAACGTTAAGTGACACGTGTCGCGTCAGATATTTTTTAAAATATATTTTTAAAAATATTTATTTTTTAAAAAATATAGACGTGATACATGTCGCTTAACGATTTTTTAACGGTATGCACCTAAAAATGTAACAAAAAAACTTTAGGCACTTATTTTAAACGAAAAAATATTTAAGTACTAAAACGTTTTTCGAGACATTTTTTAAGCAATTATATCTGTATTAAGACTTTTATATACAACACAATTAATTTGCTTCACTTTAAATATTGCATGTATTATTATAATAAATTAAGTGCTTATTAATTATTATTTCCAAAATCATAGAAATTAAAATTACTTATCTATTATCTTGTATTTTAATAAATACTTTTTTAATAAAATAACAACAATTGACCATTAAAAAATCTATAATAAGCTTTTAATATTCAGGGTAAACTATATTAGAGATCACTCAACTATAGCCCATTTTTATTTTGACTACCATTTTTGAATTCCTGTCAATCAGGCCACTTAACTATTTAAATGTATTCAATCAGACCTCTAACCGATAACATTTAACGAAAGTAATGATGTGACAATTAATAAAATTGATATAATTATAAATTTGATCATTATTACTTATATATTCTATCAGGTCCTAATTTAAAAAAAAATTAAAATAAATTTAATCTTTGAAACAGATCTTGTTATGTGTCACTAATGCCAAATATCATAACACGTGTCTCCATCTGATTGGAGAATTTAATTTATTTTAATTTAATATATTTAATTTTTACCAATAAGAGTGTAACACGTGTTACCATATGAGTGAATGAAAATTACATGAGCTAAATAGGGGGCCATAGAAACTCAAACCAACAATACCTGGGAGAGAAAGCAATGGTTCAGCCGTTGGGCCAAGTTTAATTTTTGGTGTAAAATTGATTACATATAGTATGTATCTTTGTTTTTAATATAATCTTAAATTCTTAATATTAAATATATCTTAACCTAAAATCACATCTTAACATTAAAAATATATCTTTGTAGACACCCATTTTTGACCGGGTTTAAGAAATATTATAAATATTAATTATATATTATTATTATTATTAATGTTACATATTATATTTTACAGGCCCAACAATTACCCAGATGCCCAATAAGGCCCAAGACCCAGTTACATATATCAACCCAATTACAAGATGTTGGTTCAAGCCCAAGACCCAGATCCAGACCCAAATCCAGACCAGGTTACAAGACCCGCCAGCCACCATAGATGCGTCTGTGCTTCACTGCTGCTCCCATCCACGCGTATGAGTCGTCTCCAATCATGCCACAATTGAAACTGATACTACACAATCATCTACAGTCAACCAAAATCACAACCAAAGTCAAGAAGGAAGCAACTTAATCCCTTAAAACCTGGGATTTCCACCATCTTATCTACCTAATCCAACCAAAGTCAAGGTATTTGGTGAAGAAAATGGAGATAAAATCGATGATTAAGCAAAGAGTTAGGGGGAGGAAAAAAATGAAAAAAAATTCACCAACAAAAAAGGGGGTCTCGGTCAAAAGAAAATAGAGAGGAGGCAGCAAGAACCATTCGAACAGGAGAAAAAAAAACACAGCAGAGAGAGGTTCGATTATCAACGACAGGGGATTTCATCAACACAGAAAGAAAAGCATTGTAACAAGTGTAATTCCCTATTATTTTCCAAAACAATAAATGTTATCTTTGAGGCATTCCTTGAATTTTCTTTACGGGTCCTAGTATGCTAACGGTGTATGCGTGTTTATTTCAAAATGAATGAAATTGGAAAATAGAGTTTTCCCTTTCATTTTTTACGCAGAGAGTAATGCACAGCTTTTTCTACCATTTTCTTTTATTTTTGAAAAATCAAGTATCAAGTTTTTTTTATCATTCGAACCAAGCAAGAAATAAAATGAAAGAGAGAGATTTAGTTTTGTTACCTTATGTGGTCAAGTCCTGTGGTGGTTGAGGTAAGGAGTGCTACCATCGTATGGTGGCCGGTCGAGTGTCGGTGAGCAATATGTTCCTTGGAACATGGACGTTATTCAAAAGATTAGGGGAGAGCTTGAGAAATAAAAAAAACAGATTGAGGAGGGGTGAAGGTTCGTTTACCTGGATTAATAGTCAGTCGTCGGTCTCTTGAAGGTAACCACCATGGTGATAGTTGGAGATGGAGGTAGCCACCGAAGCTTGGTGGCCGGAATAGAGAGTTCTAGAACTCTCGGTCGAGAGTGGAAAGAAAGAGTGGAGAAGAGGAGTTAGTTTGGTCTTGTTTAGGGGACAGTTTTTTCCCCATTTTATTCGTTGGTGGTCGGTAGAAGCTATGGAGGCCTTTGGAGGCTCTCTGCCGTGAGAGGTAGTAGAAGAAGAGAGCTGCGGCAGTTTGAGGGGGAGATGAAAACGGCTGAGGGTCTAGTTAAGTTATAATTAGGTTTGATTTTAGGTTTTGTTTTAAATTAGTGAAATTAGTTTTATTTTAGAGTTTAGGGGTAATTTTGCTTTGGGTACTTTTAATTTAAGCGTTTATTTACATCATGGCCACTAGATTTGGTCTGACCCGATTTAATGTCAATTTTATGGGCCTTTAGGTGCTATTTCTCCTTTTTTTAGAACCTGTTTAGGCTTAGAATTGGGTAAATCACATTTTAAATCCTCATATCTTTGCCTTGTTTTTCTATTCAGATCACTTTCATAATTTCGATGCCTGCTTAATGTCCTTTCACTTTCAATATTGTAACTATGTCAGAATTTGTTGAATTCATTTAAATTTGATCTTTGAATTTTGTTGCTGACTTTAATTTAGTCCTTAGATTAATTATGTTATTGATTAACCTTTTTGCTAATTAGTTTGTTAAAATTTTATTCTTGTTCATTAGTTTTAATTAAATTCGTGTTTATATTTTAGCATATTTAGATCAGTTTATCTTGTAGATTTAGTCCTCATATTTAAATTTATTTTAGTCCATTATTAGGCTTGTTTTTTTAACTGGTTGTTTATATTTATTATGCATAATAATATGTTTACATATGTATGAGTATGTGAATAATTCATTAGTAAATCACATGACATCATTTTGCATAATTCGTATGATATTCACATGAGCATAACTAGGTATCATTACATAATCGGATTAAGGGTAATACTCTCTTAATTTAAAATTGTTTAAATGGCTTTTTTAACTTACTAGAGAGCCGTTTTAGACGATTTTAAATTAAAACTGTATCCCATCAGTGACACCTAAAATTTTGATTCATCACCTTAAAATTTGGGAATGAAAGAAAAAGAAATGTTCGGCTATTTAAATTTGTTGAGAAAAGATCGTTAGAAATGACCTAAAGATCTGGTCTCAATATTTTTAAATAATCGAATATTCTTTATCTTTCTAATGGTTTGGTAATTTTAATTTAACCTATTTCGTTGCTTTTGAATATTATAAAATCCACATTTTGTTGTTTAAAGGGATCATAAATCAAATTAAACTCGAACTTGTAAATTTCGTTGCAAAGATATTAATTAATCGACTAGGTACTGATTTAGGGCGCTATGGGGGTGCTAATCCTTCCCCACGCGTAATCGACTCTCGAACTCATATTTGATAACGCATGCCTCAATTTGTTGTTTTAATTAAAATTAATTTTTATTTAAAATGACAACGTTTTGGGTGCCCAATCACACCCTAATCAAAGATTGGTGGTGACTCCTCGAGCCATGTTTTTTTTATTCGTAAAGGAATTTCCAATTTTTCGAGACGAAAGGTTTTTTAAATCACATTGTTTTTAATTAAAAATTCAATCGTAAAGAGAATAATTAAAAATGACGTGGTTTTCCAAATCTAGCCCCACAAAAAAATCGTTTCGACAGCTTAACGACTCTGCTGGGGAATTTTTTTAGAGAGTCAGGCCGATAGTCGATTATTTAATTGTCTTTGCAAATGAAAGTTATAAGTTCATTTTAATTTGGTTTTTGATCCCTCGTTTGTTTTAAATTTTCTGTTTGCATTCTAATTTGTGGATTGATTAAAGAATAAATAGTTGTATTAACGGGTGATTTACACGTTTCACTTTTTTTACCTTCACTTTGGTTTGTTGTGTTCTTGGATCGAGGCAAAGGATTATGGGTTTCCCCTTACTGTCGCTATAACCTTTCGATATTTAGAGCCTTCTTACTGTACTCTGTCCCGTTAGGTAGGGGTGAAGGCTACGCTTACGTAAGAAAAATTACTTTTCTCTGCATGGGCTTTAGCAATTAACCTCTGGGGTACATGCCTTATGTTTACGAGTGAAACATTGAGTTTTCTCGTATGGACATAGGGAAGTGTATCCTCTCGAATTGAACTTGATCCATTTTAAGCCTATAATGGGTGAGGATCGAGAGTATGGCAAGCTCAAAGGGGCACCAGCAAAGGATAATTCGAGGACCCTTTTAATGATACCAAACTCTGCCCATTTTATGTTGAATCTCTGTCCGCAGACACAAAGGGGAAACTCACTCTAGCATTTTCCTCGAAGTTATTTATTTTTTCAAGAAGTATGAGACTAGAAAAGCATGCGGTTAGGTTTTATATTTTCGTAAAAGCATATGAAGTAGATACCATGCGGTTAGGATTTTTTGTGAATGACAAACATGTGGGTAGATATCATGTTGGGTAGGATCTACTAAAGCATGATTGGGTAGCCAGCATGTGAGGGTAGATTTTATTTGATGATTACAGTATCCACTATATTGTTGTTTATCTTGTGTGCACTAACCCGTTTTTGTTCTAACTGTTTCTGTTATATGTCTATTTTATTGTGATTTTATTGCATTTGCATCCTCATGTAATCGAGGGGTGTTAATTCGCAAGTGATTGACTAACAAGAAGGCTGACCATATTGAGGCAAGAAATTCTCCACCATGTAGTCAAAACCGGGAGATCCAAAGATGTTCAAATGATCCATGAAGAAGGGCACCCGAGGAATGAAGAGATCTGAAGCTGGTTGGAGAATTCCTTTAAAGGTGCAAAGGCCAAGATGTTGACTCAGAAGATATATATAGTCATTCATAAGGACGAGAAGACCATTCATAAAGATGAGAAGACCATTCATAAAGATGATAAGACCATTCATAAAGACATGAAGACCCTTCATAAAGACATGAAGATCATTTCACATTGGAGGTAAGAATGAAGATTTCAAGATTCAATTTAAGGACATCCGACGTCATCAAAGGTGATGGAATACGCCGACAATTTTGGAGGTGCAATACCAGATCCCATGAAGAGTACGACTTGAGGAAATGAAGAGAGATGAAGAATCACAGTTGTATTTTGATTACATGGTGTACTTACTGAATTCTTGTTGTCTAAGTGAACGGTTGTTCTATAAGTGGTCACTTTTAGGATTAACACCTCGTGCATTTGCACTCTGCATTTTGCATTTTGCATTTTGCATTGCATGTATTTATTTAAGCATTTTATATACATTAACTATGAAAACACGAAAATAACTTATGAAAGATTTTTGTTCAGTAATAACAAGATCATTCATTCATACTGTTCCTCATCATCATGAACAAATAAATGGAAGCGACAGAGCAAGTTAATGAGAAATCACAAGAATAGTTGCAAGAACAGTTGGTCGGGTCACAACAAGATACAAGGAATCAAGCATTGGGTTTTCTACAAGATGCATCGAATCAAATGATCAAGATACTGACACCACAAGTTGCTGGTAAAGAGAAAGTGGAGGATAAAGAAATTCAATGTCATCATACTAATGCATCAAGAATGATAATTTACCCCAGAACATCTAACTCAAACCAAGGGAAGAGACTCGTCAATTATGAGCAATTTGAAAATGAATTCAAATGGTTGAATGAAGCCGTTAAAAAATATGAAGGTTGTCAATGCCACTCACAAGGAGTTAGAAGCCAGAGAACTCAGCTTGGTCCCTGATTTGGTCATCCCACATGAATTTAGGGTGCCTAATTTTGAGAAATATGATGACACTAGTTGCCCCCTAATTCATCTGAAAATGTTTTGCAGAAATATGGAAGGGTACTTAGATGATGATAATTTGTTGATTCATTTCTTCCATGACAGTCTTGTTGGGCCAGCTGTAGTATGGTATAACGCTTGAACAGAGAGCAGATCAAGACATGGGTCAACCTAGCTGATACTTTTCTGGGGTAATATCAATATGTTAAAGGCTTAGCCCCAAAACGTCATCACCTTCAAAAGATAATGATAAAAGCTACTGAGAGCTTTAAAGAGTATGCCCTAAAATGGAGAGGAGTGGTGGCACAAGTTCAGCCTCCTTTGCTAGAAGAAGAAATATCATATATGTTTCATGATTCTCTCCCAGCTCCTTTCTTTGAGTTAATGCTAGGAAATTCGATGAATGATTTCAAGGATCTTATGGTGGCTGGAGAATCAATTGAAGATGCAATCAGTAAAGGAAACTTGAAAGTCACTTCCAAATGCCCGAGAAATCAAGAGGGAAGAGTAAATGAGGTGAAGGAATGCCACGTCTAGAGCTCTTACATCCGTAAGAGAAAAGGGGCAGCTGGTTACTCAAGTCGTCCAAAGAAAGTCCCGAGATCAAAAAATGCTTTGAAAGTGCTCCAAGCTTCTATCGCGGATCTGTATCCCCATTTGATTAAAAGTCAATACCTCACACCAAGGCCAGTGAAAGTACAACCAAACTCTTCTGCTCATAGCTATGATCAAAATAGTGTTTGTGATTTTCACTTGGGGGCATTGGGGCATTCAACCAGAAATTGTAGGCCTCTATTAAAGGAGATAGAGACGCTTGTAGAAAATGGGACATTGACACAAGAATTGGTGGAACAATGGATGACGAGCTAGAGTGGGGCATCGGAGTGCAACGTATAACACCTGATCGAGTCAAACGTCACTCCATCAGAAGAATAATGAGGGCATCTTAATTATACAGAAATCATTTTGTTCATCACGAAACTTTTTGTCATTTGCAACATCTTGTTTGAACATGTTTTTTGGACTTTCTCATCAGTTTTTTTTGTAATGATATTTAAGTGAACTCATGTTACTTTAAGGATGATGAGCATTGAATCGAATTTATGACTTGAAATTCCTTGAATATCAATTGAATTAAAAGCTCTTTAATGATTAGAGTTACAAATCTTTGACAAAATGACAAGGTTGAAATCTAATAAAACAAGGACCCTGGACCTTACCCCCAGAAGATACACTCGAACACCATACCTTTTTATTGCAGGGACCGATATAGCCTCCTCCTATCATAAAGGAATGAACCATAGGCTTGGTATTCAGGTATGCATAGGAGCGGACAACATGGGGCATCTTTTGTGTACGATGTTACAAAACTGTCTAGACCATACTTTTGTTGACGACGTTCGATGATGATTATGATCTTTACAAATG